TGACACCCCCATTCCAAAAGAGTGTGACAATCTTCCTTAGATCCCGAGAACTCATAAAAACTCCCTGAAGAATTTTATATTTCTAGAGACATCGGTTATCTTGATTTTCATAATCGCTCTGTTGTACAGACATCTGGGGGAGCTGTCCCAAGCTCAAGGTCAACTCCTTTGCCCTGAGCAGCCTGAGGACAGAGGGAAGGCCAGAGCACCTGATTCCACGGAAGTAGGATGGGGTTTGCCCAGGACACATAGAGATGAGATCACCCCCTTATTTCCTTAATACTGCTTTCTGCCCAGCCTGCTGTTCATTTAGATCAATTCTTCATCTAAGACTCTGTGTGACTTTCAGGTTTCAATTTGTTCCTTAGGGCATGCAAGCCATGTTCTCTACCCATGGAGGAAACTAACATTACCTTTCATTTTCTTTCTTTTTAAAAAAATCTTTTAATTTTATTTAATTCTCTCTCTCTCTCCCTCTCTCTCTCTCTCTCTCTCTCTCTCTCTCTCTCTCTCTCTCTCTCTCTCTCTCTTGAGTCAAGGTCTTACAAAGTAGCCCCAAAGAGACTAGGACTCGCTCTCTAGTCCAAATTGTTCTCAAATTTGTGATCCCTTTGCCTCAGCCTTCCAAGCTCCGGAATTACAGCCGTGGGCCACTCTGTCCAGTTAATGGTTCCTCCTCTGTGTTGTGTTTGTTAGAGCACTGGGATGGATTCCAGGGCCTGTGTGTGCTCCGTCAACACTTCACCATTCAACAGGCGCTCCAACTATTTCCTCTTCCCTTTGCCTACGTTTCTCTTTCCCAGAAAGCAAGGTGTTGCTCTTATTCCTGAGCTACCCAGTTTCGTGAGAGGCCTGAGCTATGCTTTGCCTGACTCATCCCACATGTAAACACTTGAGACTGGGAAGAGCCCGGTGCTCCTTCAGATTTTTTTTGTTTTGTTTTGTTTTTCGAGACAGGGTTTCTCTGTGTAGTTTTGGTGCCTGTGCTGGATCTCACTCTGTAGACCAGGCTGGCCTCGAACTCACAGAGACCCGCCTGCCTCTGCCTCTCGAGTGCTGGGATTAAAGGCGTGCGCCATCACTGCCCGGCTGCTCCTTCAGATTCTAACATGATAGCATGTTGTGTCTCATCTTCAGAACTCAAGTGTCCAATGTCCGATGTTGGAAAGTTTAAAAACTGGGCCAGTGACAATGTAATGAGTTCCCATATGCTCTCCTGAATTATGAGGAAGGCTAGAGAAAGGAGGAGAGGAGCAATGTCCAGCCCCCAGGGCCACCCCAGCCTCCTCACTCCTTTATCTTGGAAGTCTTCCTTGACCCCGCCCCCCCATCAGCTGAGTGACAACCTCACACCTTCTCATCCTCCCCACCCCACACGGCTGCAGAAGCTTGCTACAGAGTTCCACGCTCTGCAAACTCTGCAATGGTTCCTTCCCTCCAACACACGTCTTTCCCAGCCCTGAGGAAGAAAGAATGGCAGCCGCAGATCTTCTTTAAACTGTCTTCAGTCCTAGGCTGGGGAGGCGCTCAGTGGGTCAATCACTTCCAAACAGACCTGACCCTGGAACTGGGGTCCCCAGAACCTGACATGAAAGCTGGTGTAGGCAGCAGTGAACAAGAGAGCATGTCGCAAACGAGGTGGAAGGTGAGGATAAATACTTGAAATTGTCCACTGACTTTTTGTTTGTTTGTTTGTTTTTCGAGACAGGGTTTCTCTGTGTAGCTTTGCAGCCTGTCCTGGAACAACTCACAGAGATCCGCCTGCCTCTGACTCCCGAGTGCTGGGATTAAAGGCGTGCGCCACCACCGCCTGGTTGTCCACTGACTTCTACACACTCAACCTGGCATGAATGTGCCTACATTCACCTCTCTGTCTCTCTGTCCATGTCTGTCTGTGTGTGTGTCTCTCTGTCTCTTATTTTCTCTCTCTCTCTCTCTCTCTCTCTCTCTCTCTCTCTCTCTCTCTCTCACACACACACACACACACACACCTATTTTTATCTATGTGTATCTACCTCTCCATTTCTATTTCTCTATCATGTGATCAATGCCTGTATCTGTGTGTGTATATATATATATATATCTTATATATTATTTATAATCTATTATCTGGCTATAGAGCAATTTACATTGCTCATTCTTAGTCCTCAATGTACACTAAACATTTTGGGGACACTTTTGTGTGTACAGTTTTCAGAGGTTCTGTGCATTGTGTGTACAGTATCCTCCATTTCTGACTTTTGCATCTTTTGCAATGTGTTCTCATAAACAGTATTCCCACTGGATTTCTCCCAGGAAGTGTGTGCAGGGGACAGGTGTGGACTGCTCAGGAAACTCAAGCTTGGTCTCTGGATCCCTTATCACAGCCAGCCATGGTGATTTCCTCTGCTAACAGAATATACTAACTGCTGGGATTCCTGTCCTCAAGGTGCTGCCCAGAAGTCTTGCCATTCCTTTTGTTGAAGTCTCCAGGAACTTGGGGCTCCCTCCCATCCTGGTCCACTCTGATCTGGTGCTGACAAACTGGACCAAAAGGAACCCAGAAGGGTAAGGAGGGAGAGGATTCTTCCGATATCAGTGGACTGAGATTCAGGCACGGGAAGACCCAGAACTTTAACTGCCCTCACGGAAAAAAGGCTCAGGGGCTTAGGGCTGATTTATAGCGAGCCGTGCATTCACATTCATCGTTTGCTTTACAGTTCCCATGAAAGAGTGAACACACACATTTAAACTGCAGGCCTTTCTTCTTTGTGGGCTCTAAGTACGTTGGCCCCAGATGCTTTTCCGTGTTGGTTCCACTTCACATCTGGATTTCCCAACTTCAGCCTCCTGCATAATCACACTGTGCTGTTTTTTCTCAGCACACACTTGGTGTACGACCCCTTCTACCCTTCACTCAAGTCAGGTTAGGACTGGGTGTCAGGGAGGAGTGAGCGCTATGATTATGAATGAATGATTGATTCTAGGTATGTGGGATTCTGATTTGTGCCGTCCATCCCACCTAGTTTACACCATCTCACAGTCGAGCTGGGCATAGAAGCATTTGTCTACTGACTTTTACACAAACAACAAATCCGTGAACACTTCATTTTCACACTCAAATTTGTTTCAGGTTGTAGACACAAGGCAACATTTACTTTTGCGATAAATTAAAACCACAACGGAGAAACTGAGGCTGCATATAAAGAGACCTTTCTTGGCATGGTGGTTGTAGGTAGCCCTGGCTTGATCTTTGATCAACTATACAGTAATAAAAAACTGGTATGCATGGAAAGCTATTGAATCTAGCTTAGAATTGGGGTGGGTGAGACAATAAATATATGTGCATGGATTATTGTGGTGACTGTATTGTGTTGACTAAGCTAGGTTTGTGACCCAAGGCAAAAGGAGACAGCACGTTTAAAGGGAGAATGTGTCTGCTCTGGGGTGAGAAAGTCAAAAACAACCAGCCAGGGAGGTGCAGGGCCCTGAGACACAGGTGCAGGCCTGGGGCTCCCCTGCCATCCTTTTGGGTGAACGTATTCCTGACATCTTTTAAGATGTCAACACGGAGCTCGGTGCTTTGCAGAAATGAAAGAAATAGAAGGGAACCACTCCCAAAGCAATTCAGTATTGAGACAGATCAGGACATCTAAAGAGACATCAGGTGTCTTTAGAATTCCAGGAGAAGGGCAGGGGAAGCCCGGAGGGGGCAGACGCTGATCTAAGGCGAGCCGTAGCAGGTGGGTAGGGTTAGAGTCACTGACGTGGGGATTGTGGTGAGGGACAGCTAAACAGAAGCATGGAGGAATGTGGGCCTGCGCAGACACAGGGCTCTGGCGCTGTGAGCTGAGATCCAGGTCACGCTGTCACTCAGTGGCTCACTGTCTAGTCACAACCGTGCTGTTGTAGGCATGCGCTGATGTGTGTGTGTGTATGCATGGGCGTTGCCGATGAGTGTGTGAGTCCGGGTACCGGGACCCCAAGAATGGTTTCTGGTTCCACACTGAGTTGTTCTTTTCTCTTTTTCTCTTTGTCATTGCCAATAACTGAAATGTGACCAGACCATGGGAAATCAGGTAAGCGTCCTGTCAGAACCCCTGTTCCCTTTAAAGGCTTATGATAAAACTAGAGGGGAACTTGTCAAGCTCTGTGGACAGCGGCACGGCATCAGCCATCTAAGAACTCGCGAAAGTGCCAAGGAATGTGCTACAAACTTAATAGTCCCAGCGTTAGCTCCGAGGGAGGCAACCTTGGAGGGGTGAGGGGATTCATTTTTCTTAACCACGTGTCCCTGTCGGTCTGCAATAAAAAGTGCCGCCATGTCAAAAAACAATGAACGTGTTGTTCACTGTGGGGAGCCAAGCAGTCTCACAGGGATTTCTCATCTCTGATATTTACAAAGGCCAGATGCAGGCAGGCAACGGTGAATGGTCCCCTTGAAAACCCTTGCCGTCTGGTGGACTGGGGCCCTTGCGGGTAGGTCTGGTCTACAGTCAGAGGCTCTGCCTTCCCTGAGGAGCAAAGCTGGCTGGGAAGCCACTGGGGCACCGAGCTCACATCCCCCTCAACTCTGCGGAGAGTGTAGGTGGAAGGTGCCCACATCATTCCCTGAGCGAACACACCTCTGCCGGACAGACGGCAGATGGCAATGCGTGACTCCCATCTGCTTTGATGCTGTGAGGTTCGAGTCTTGGCTTTGCTCATGCTTGCTAGAGATAAAGCAGATGCACGGCGCTACTTCTTCGGATTTGTTGATCGGGTCAGCTTTGAATCTGATGGGAGATGTCAGGCTGATTAGAAATGACCCCTCTTGACAGACTTCCCGCCCCAGCTCTGTGGCAGCATTTCATTCTAGGTTAGGACTCCAGCCAGGCTCAGAGGCACACACCCATAATCTTCACACCTGGCAGGCAGGGGCAGGGTGGTTGTGAGTTTGAGGACAATATGCAATACATGGTGAGGCCCTCCCTGTCTCACAAACAAAAAACACAAAAGAAAAAAAAGCGGGGGCGGGGTGGGGGGGGGTGGGGAGGGTTCGATTCAGTTCTTAAACTATGCTGGATCTGGCCATGAACAATCATTTATATGCCCCTAGATAAGAAGATAAGCTGCTTCACTTCCTTGAGCCACAATTTCAGTTCCGTTAAAGGGGACATAGGATTCACTTTGATCACTCTAGCTCTAAGACCCCTTAGCTTTACACAAGAATGATGGGATCCCCAAGGACCAGAAAACCTCTTGCTAAGAACTGTCCAGCAGGGTAGGTTCCCATGACTCTGGGCCAAAGGTCAATGATCCTCTAGGCCACGGTAAACACCCAGGGTCTTCAGGTCAGGGCAATTTGGCTCTAACCAACATGCTCTCCTTTTTCCCTGGTGGCCTCTTTCTCCCAGTAACCTGGAAACCATCGTCTCTTTCCCCGGGGGAGAGAGCCTGCGGGCCTTCATACTGGTGACGGTTTTGGTGGAGAAGGCAGCGGCGCCTGGCATTAAGGTATCTTCTTGCTTCACCGCCCCTCTGTCTTCAGTCCCACACCCACTCTGTCCTCTCCCGGTGGTGGGTTTCTCCATGTGGACAGACACAGGCCTTCTCCTACTTGGTGAAGTCTGAAGGAAGAGATCTGAGTGCTAGTCTCTGGTGTCAGCACCCGTTCAGCCTGGAGTAGACCATTCCTCCGTCTACACACAGGTGTCACGTGCAGGGCGCAATGAAGTCACTGTGCCAGCTGTCACAGCTCATGGCCCTGCGGAAGCTGGAGTCACATCGGTTAAAAAGAAAAAGGCTGTTCTGTGAATAGACAGATAAAAGCACATCTATGCTTGAAGGATCCGGCAAATTTCCCTACAGAAATGTCAGCTGAGTTAAGATCTGAGTGAGTGAATGAGTGAGTGAGTGAGTGTGTGTGTGTGTGTGTGTGTGTGTGTGTGAATTTCTTGCAACTCTGCAGAGACAGAAGAAATGGTCTCTTCCAGATAGCAAGCATCATTGAGGTCACCCAGGTGACCCAGCCTTTGGGGGCTTCAAAATTCATTTCTTTTCCTTCAGGACTCACGGCTTCTAGCGGGGCAGGGTATAAGACAATAGACAATGAAGCGGAAACCTTCATCTCTCACCCTTATCTCTAGATTAAGATGGATTTATGGCTTTATTGAATGCCTGCTGTTCAATAGAGTCCTGATATAATTACTGCAGAATCTTCCACTCTCAAAAGTGAAAGCAGGAGCCGGAGTGTAGCTCCGTGGTCCAGCAGGAATTCAGCCTGTGCGAGCCCTGGGTTCCAGGCACATGCGCACCCTGTTGTGAAATCCCTGGTCATTTCAGTCCTCATCCATTAGTCTCGTCTGCTGGAAGATTCAGCATCTGATGGTAGTTCATCGGTCTAGCTGAGGAGATCAGTCTAAGGCAAGGAGGGCTTCCGGGCTGATGGAGCCGAGAAACTGGGGAGTCTTTGGAACCTGTCCGATGTCACACAAGCCCTCTGCACGGAGGATGTCCCAGCTGGGGAGGCCAGAGTAGAAACGACCATCATATGGGAAACCCAAAAGGAACGAGAAAACATTAGCGTTGAGGACCCTGATGTCATAGCTTATGCTGCAGCGCTATACCCCAGTGGTGCGGGCTGCTCTCCCTGCTCTTCGGATTTTAACAGAAAGTAGTGAATGAACTGAGAAAGTGCATCTCATTCCTAGGCCCTGGTTCAGGGAGTGGACGCCGTTCTGCAACACAGCCAGGACACCCTCCTCCAGGCCCTGCAGCAGGTGAGGCTCTCCATCCAGGACATCACCAGAACCTTGGCCCAGATGCATGGTAAGAAGAAGCCTGGGTAGAGCCTCCAGGGGCCTGGACCTGGGCGGGGCCCTAAGTGGATGATGATGGTACAGCTTCCCACAAGGTGGCGCTAGTGTTCTATCTTTGTTTAGCACAAACCAAACCAACTAGAGAATGATTTTTTTTCCCCAGGTGATTGAAACATTTTTGCAGAATTGTTTTGTATATTTTTTCTGTGCGTGGGGGTCGTTTGCCTTCTTCAGGGTCCAGGCTGAGCTTTTGTGGAAGCCTGGGAGATTGGGTGGGTCCCAAGGGGAATGTTGGTTGTGTTTCAGCTTCCGTGGTTAGCCTGCTGGGAGCAGGGCTGTCGGTGGAGGTGTCCGTGAGTCCCTCTGGATTCATTTGCTTTTCCTGTCTGTGGGTTCTGAGAGACCTGAACCTGGCTTTAGTATTCCCTGACCAGTGCTGGCAGGAGCCGCCGAAGGAAGGAGTAACTGGCGCCCTCTTCCCTGGTGGCTAACTCTGGTTCTGGAGGGGCAAAACAATGTTCATTAACACTGAAATCTATCAAGTGTGCCTGCTGGGCGTTTAAGGCAGGTTCGATGCAGGAGTGTGGTCCCTTTGTGTGAGAAACAGGGTCAGACACCCTTCCCCCTGAGTCTTGACTTCATGTAAGGAAGATTCTGGGCAGTAGTGTCCACATGGCACAGGGTGGGAAGGAGAAGGGGCAATGTTGCCACCTTACGCTGAGTAAACGTGGTCATCCCAGGCTCTGTGATGTCCCCCGGAGGTCACAGGATTACGTAATTCCCGTCCACTTCCCATTTCCTTGGATTTAACCTTAAAGCTCTCGTGGATGTATCATTTCATTTCCCCAAGTGCTCCCCAGTTGGTAACACGCATAGCAGCTTTGCCAAGACAGCCTGGGGTCATTCCTCTTAAGTGTCTCCAGAGCCTATGTTGAACACTGGAGTCGTTGGGAAGGTTCTGAGGCTCTCCAGTGAGTCACACTGTGTGTACCCTAGTGTCTAACACAAGTTTCCCCAATGCTAGTTTTTGACCATGTTACAAGCCCAGAAAGACCTTCACGATCCCCTGAGAGAGTCCTGAGGATCTGGGGGAGCTCCCAGATGTACCCTCTCCACCCCATTTCATCCCAAGACAAATTTCCCCATGCAATGGGATTTTCAAGGTTCTATGACTAGCTGTATCCACATACATGGGGAAGGAGGGGAACGTGACTCCACACTTTTCAAAGATGGCGACAGCATCCTCCATCCCATCCCATGAGCCCCTCACAGTGCGGGCAGGCACTCCCCTCATCTCAGGATCGAGGATGTGTCCCGGCCTCTGAGATTCTTCCAACCAAAAGAGCAGCAAGGAGAACAGGAAAGGCGGAAATGTTCCCATCTTGAGTGCTGAGACACCATGTGAAACCCAATGTTCCTAACTTTAGCAAGCATCCTGGGTTTACTCTTTCCCTAGGCACAGCCTTCCTTCCCAAGCAGGCAGGGTCCATAAACATGCCTTTTGCGGACATCGGAGGCCCACTGCACTCACTGCAAGCCAAGTCCCCAGGCCTTTGCCCAACTTAACATAGCTGTTGTACACAGTGCTCACCAACAGGCAAAACAGTAAAACCAGACCGCTGTGTTCATAATCCAACTCCCCAGAGGCCACCCCAGTACTAAACACATCTGCCACGGCCATCTGCTGTCACTTGCCTCAGTTTGGCACCGTGTACCCGTGTGACTGTCTTTGGAGGATGTCTTGCCTATAGGGTCCACTTGGGTGGGGATTTGGGGATCTGTCTGACAGCCAAAATATTTTCAGGGTGTCAAGTATTTAAACCTCTTCCAGGCACAATTCTGTAGCTTGTCAGCAGGTCATGCCCCTAAGAGTCAATTCCCCCTTAGGAAGTTCAAGGTACCTATTTCTCTCCAGAAAGTAATTTATTTCCTGTCCTTCCTTCGGAGTCAACAAAAGGTCTGGCTTCAGCCTGACTCGCTTAACAGTTTTTTCTTTTAAGCACCTGGGGAGATGCTCCCAAGTAAAACAATGGCTGTGTAGCATAAGGATTTGAGTCTCTGCGGTAGTTTGAATGTAACTGGCCCCCATAAGTTCATGGGGAGTGTCAACAAAGTGTGGCTTCGTTGGGGTTGTGTGGCTTTGTTGGAGGAAGTGTGTCACTGAGTGGGTAGGCTTTGAGGTCTCGTATATGTTCAAGCCACACCCAGTGCCTCGGACTACTTCCTGTTGCCTGCCCGTCAGCTCCTTCTCCAGCAACCTGTCTACCATATTGATGATAATGGACTAAACCTCTGAAATTGTAAGCCACCCCAATTAAATGTTTTTCCTTTATAAGAGTTGCCATGGTCATGGTGTCTCTTCACAGCAATAGAAACCCTAACCAAAACAGTCTCCATCCCCAGTACCCAAGCAAACATCTGGGAGTGCGGTTCACATCTGTGATCCTAGTGCTGGGGAGGGGGGATGGGAGGATCCTGGAGCTCCTGGCAGCCAGTGTAGTAGAGTCAGTGAGCTGAACTCTACATGAGAGACTGTGTGTGTGTGTGTGTGTGTGTGTGTGTGTGTGTGTGTGTGTGTGTGTGTGTGAGAGAGAGAGAGAGAGAGAGACACCCAACATTGACCTCTGGCCTCCACACATTATGCACACACAAACACAGGCATGCGCACACAGAGGTAGAATTTTTCTTTTAATAGGGGTGAGACATCAAATGTTTCCCTCTGACTGTGTTTAATGATGCCCTCCGAGGAGGGAGGTGGGGGTGGGGGGCTGGACTGTGAGCCTTTGCGGCCCAACTCTTCTGATTTGGTCATCTAATTTTGTCAAAGGACTTTTTATTTTTGGTTTATGAACTTGGTTTTTTTTTTTTTTTCTAAACCTCGTATGGAAAATTATCACCTGGAAATTCCCTGTTAGCTTAAGTCATGTTTCTGTTTCTAAAGCTGGCCTTCACTGGTGGATTAGTTACTTAAGCAATCTGCATGTATCCAAACTATGTAAGCTGCTTCCTTAAATCCAGTTTTATTTACTCCTTTAACCCATTTTTTTTTTTAAATCATGTTTAAGCATCAGGTGTGAAAACATATTCTGGTTATTTTTTTTTTTTTTCAACTTTACTTAAACTAGGTTCACCTGAGATGAGGACCCTCAGTTGAGAAAAACATCTTCATCAAATTGCCTGGGAACAAGTCTACAGGGAATTTTCTTGATTAATGATTGACGTGTGAGAGCCTGGCTGGGGCCTGGCTGCTTTAAGAAAACAGGCCGAGCAAGCCACAAGGAGCTGCCTGTAAGCAGCACTCTCCCATGGCTTCTGCTTCGGTTCCTGCCGCCAGGTTCCTGCCCCGACTTTCCTTGGTGACAGAATACAAGCTAGAAGATGAAATAAACCCTTCTCCACCCCAAGTTGCTTTTGGTTAGGGTCACAGCAAGGATAACAATACACATCATACCCAAGGCAGCTGTCAGTGCACTGAAGATTTTTAATTCTAACAGACGACTTCTAAGGGGAATAATGTATCAAACTACCTAAAAGTATGCCGGCTGTAGGTTTTTGTTTTGTTTTCTGCCTTGCTGGGGATGGGGAGCGGGCCCTTGAGCATGCTCAGTAGGTACTCACCCAGCGCCCCTCATCCCCAGCATCCACAGGTCTCTCTGATTTGGGTAGCTTTGATTTGCCCACGTATTCCCAACCTTTCCCGCCCTGCTCTCCCCTGCACATATTTATTTGCCCCATTCTGGTTTCTTTTCTCTGGCTGTCAGAAGACCCTCGTTCAAAAGCAGCTTGGGGAGGAAGAGGGTTATTTGGCTTATACTTCCAGGTCACAGGCCATTACTGAGGGACGTCAGCAGGAACTATGAAAGACAGAGCTTACTACCTTGTTCTTATGTTCACTGTCCGCTACCTTCCTTCCACAGCCCAGGTCCACCTGCCCATGGATGAAGCCCCTCTCACATCAATTAGCAATCAAGAAATAACCCACCGCGCCCCTGCCATGGGCCCACAGGCCAATCTGTTGGGGGAAATAGCCCAGCTCAGACTCTTTCAGATACCTCAGGGCTATGTCAAGCTGAAGCTAGCCAGGAGTTCCCTTTAGGATTTCTTTAAGACGTATCTGCTGATAGATTAGAACATGCCAAGCTCTGTTGCCTGAAAACTGCCTTCTTCCTCTCCAGGACTGGAATAATATTTTCATAGCAACCAAATCTTTGCAGGCAGAGCATGTCTGTATGTGGTCTTCTGGCTCCAGTGTTTGAGGCCTGAGCTGTGGTTGCTCTGTCTTCTCCTCCTGGCTGCTTGTATCGATTTTGTCGCTATTTCTTGATTCTTATTTCTATTTTTCCACTCATTCTTAATGGTTTTCATGTTATCTTGTGTGTTTGATTTTTTTTTTAAACCACACCATGCTGATTATTCATAAAATATCACCTGTAAGCCAGTCCTTAAGAAGGAGGAAGAGAACGTTTGTACTCCATTCTTCCTGGTTCCTGGAGATGCTAAACTACATCAAATCAACTTGGAAACTGAGGTCCAAGGACCATTCAGGCAATTACGTTTGGACTGAACATCTGCATCATACAACTCCAACTTTCCAGGGACAGATTATTTTAATTTTGTTTTGTTCTGTATCAAGTTCACTTTCATTTTGTTGCATGTGGCAAGCTGGGCAGGCTGGGCAAGCTGGGCAAGCTGGGGCTGCTTCACACTGAAGGTGGAGGCGTCAGCACTGGCAGATGCCAAGTTAATGCCAGAGAGCATGGGGTGAAACTTACCCCTAAACTAAGCCCAAGACTACCTTCCTGTGTGGTTTTGTATTTTCCTGGTGGTTCGTGGATTCCTTCATGGCTCTTTGGCTACTTTCTGGCCTTTCTTTCTTTCTTTCTTTCTTTCTTTCTTTCTTTCTTCCTTCCTTCCTTCCTTCCTTCCTTCCTTCCTTCCTTCCTTCCCTCCTTCCTTCCCTCCCTTCCTCCCTTCCTCTCTCCCTCTCTCCCTCCCTCCCTCCTTTCTTTC